AGTACGTTTCTCGTACTTAACTATGAAGCATAACCCGCAAGTAGCCTGAAGGTGTACACCTTATGTGGTGAAGACTGTTCGTTATTGTGATTTGTCTTGAAGCTGGCAGTTGAACCGCAACCCTACGCCCAGCTGAACCTGTAAAGCCAGGACAGGAAACGCTACCGTCTGCGCATGCCCAACCAATGAATGAAGGCACGCGTCCAACGCAAGGGCCGTCCAATGGGGCTGCGCGTTGCGGTCCGGGCGCTCAGATGTGAGTATGCATTCGACTATGTAACGTGCCCTTTTGGATCCTTGTAGCGGTGCCAACAGGAAGCAATATTTTTTTTCTCAGAGGCATTTTTTGTTGGAGACTACTTCAGACCCTCCGCACCGCGGCTAGGTGAGCAACATCTCGGCAAAGACATTTTTGAGACCGTGTATTGAGACATGCCTTTGACTAGGCACTTGGGCCTAGTCCTTCAGCTTGCAATGTGTGAGTCCGCCACTACACTGCGGCGTGTAGCCCTTAGCCCAAGCGACCGCGGACATCAGAATTCCTCTCTCCGTAATAAACCTCCCCTGCGTACCCTGGTGGTTTACTAGCTCTCGTCTCTCGACTAAGTGGGAGATGCATGATGCGGTGGAGGCGACTGCTGTTTGCTATTCTCAGACACATACCTGCGCTGTCCAGTCTTTGCCAGCATTTCCTCAGAGGAAAGTAGAAGGCCCATGCCTGCGTGAGATTCTTCAAAGCCTTACCAGCACAGAAGCGAGCGTAGAGGCTAAGTCAGCCAGGCGGTAGATGACAATATTACGCCCCAACGATTAGCAGCAGCAATTTGAACTAGCATTACATGAAGTTCTCCTACCATGTGTAGTTCTGGCACAGAGGTGAACTCCCAAAACCCGAACGCTGTCACCATCGTGCAGGTTGAGGCCTTCGCTTTTAGGATGAAGCCTGCCATGCCTACATGTCGCTGCACGCAACGTCAAGATCAAGAATTTCGGGGGATCACAGTACCACATGTTTTACTGCAAAAAAAAGGAGAGCTTACTTGAATGATTGGGTGGACCACATGCCTGCCTGTAGGATCGATTCATCATGATGTACTCAGTCCAGACAGGGCTTTTCAAGTCGACAGTTGCCTTTTTCATGCCTTCCGCCAACGGTTTTGCATTGCGGAACATCTTTCAGCAGCTTTGAATCTTTATGGCAGGTTAAGGTAGGTCAAGCACCCGCTGCCTTTGACAACGTACGCAAGATTACTGAAGAACCAAGACTGACACCCCCCCCATATGAAGCCTGCATGCCTTGTGAATGAACTGGTAGATATGCAGGCTGAGGGTGCCGTCGAGGACTGCATGTTGCAGCTACTAGGCATATGCCGTATACGGCAACTGCAAGTGGCGGCTATAGATCAGCACCAACACCCCCCTGCGTGAAGGAGTGGAACCGCAGCAATCCAAAGTTGGCGGTGCAAGCCACCGACCGAATCTTTGTGAATGCCTCAGGCTTATGCCATAGTGCTCGCCATTGCTGCCAAACCTCAAATAATCCCTATAGTACAACCCCTATATTTCAACCCTGTATCATAGCCCGTATATATTACCCTGTATTGTACTACATGTTATCTATACTTTGCAAACCGTGTCCCCTGCACGTGGCAAGATTCACAAATGTCTTGGAGCCGAGCTGGGACAGAAAGAGAGGGACAACAGCTGCTACGATGCAAATGTTGTGTTCAGTCCCTATAAGAATATGAGCGGTTTTATGAGAGCTATAGCCTAAACTCCTAGCATCCCCATCAATAACCCCTATAAAATAATACTCTCCTATATTATCCCCTTACCCCATCTAAGAAGTATAGACTATGGCTCATGATGGCGGTCTGTAAGGATGCGCATTCCATCGGTGAGTCGGTGGCTCTTCACGAACAGGATGCGGCACCCGTTTGCGTCTCAGGTGCTGGCTGCCTACCGCTATAAGCTTACTAGTGGTGAGTAGAAGGAGAGAATTTGCAACATAGAGATTGTGCGGGTATACTACTACAGGGTTTCTCTTGGGTTTAGATAGGGATTGGGATTATGGTGGCGGTGGCGGAACGCCGCTGCTACCAACTGGCTTCTTCAACTACAGGCAGCGAAATCAAGACTCTGAGCTCAGCAGCCTTCCAGGACTCCCCCTCAAACAAGCCTCCAAACCCGAACCCCAAACTCTAAAACCCCAAAACCCCAATATACTATAGTAGTTTCCATTTTCTTTTCCATTATCCCGATATTACCCCAATATACTATAGTAGTTTCCATTACCCTAAACATCACAAGGAAAAATGCGCTATGCTGCTACTTCTGCTGCCTCCGTCGGCGGTGCTGGCTGTGTTGGTGGTGCTGGTGCTGAGGTTGCTTTCCTAGTGGTGCTTGCTGGTGCTGCTGCCGCTGCTGGCGGCAACCGTGGATATGATGGTACTACCACTGCTGCAGTATTGGTGGTTGAGCAGATGCATGGAGTAGAGGGAAAGGAGGAGCATCGCCACTGACATCATGAAGTGAAGTGCATGCTGAAGTGATAGGTTGCGACGATGTACTTTGGTGTCCCCTTTTGAGTGTTTATTTTTCAGAAAGTACAAGCTGGGTTGAGCACTCTATAGGGACCCCCTCGTAATAGGCGGTTGGGGGGGTGTGTCACTATGGGCGCCGCCTATTTCCCCGCCTATTCTACCAATGTGGGGTGGGGTAGGAAGAACAGGCGGGAATCCTCAGTTTCAAGGTCAGATAGCCTTGCGCAGACAGACAAGTGCTATTACATCAAGCTGGGCATGATTGAGCATGACTGAGACTTGAATTCTGTGATGCGTCCTGATTGTTTTCTGTTGCAAGGCCATTTGGGCTTCATAGGATGGTTGAAGGTTTTTGGCGGAGCATGACCCCGATTTGCTATGTTGTGCCAACTCTCTCATGGCAATGTGGTCAAGGGACCCCCGGCATTTTCAATGATATGGAAATAGGCGGGCCGCCTGTTTCCGGGACCCCCACATACCCCCACCCTCGAAGGGGTCCCCATAGCACGCTTTTCTGTACACCTACGAGTCCATTCTGGCTGTTGCTGGCGATGCCCCGAGGCATCTGGCGTGTTGCGGACATTGCAGAACGCAGACAACGTGGCATGGCAAACCTTTTGGCCTCTGCACATATCATTGCGTAGAAGGGCTGCAGAAGCATTGTTAGGGTAATGTCCCTATGTCCCTATATACACCCAAAAAGGGACCTAGGGTTTCCATTTCATTTTCCATTTTATTTTCCATTTGATTCTCCATTGGCAACTACCCAGATGCTGAATGTTCTGCAGGTCTGCTTTACCGTCCTCTCTTGGAGGCAGGATTCGTGAGCTTTCAGGCCCAGTAGGCAGAAGTGGGAGCGGCATGCAAAGCACTGTAGCCCCCGGATACCAGGCAAGGCATGGGCAAGCCACATGAACCATAGTCTAAACTCCTTAAAGGGCTTATATGGGGATTATACAGGGGACTACTATAGGGGTTATTAAGGGGGATACTAGGAGTTTAGACTATGGCTCACATTCCTTTGCCGGCAAATGAGCTTGAGACGGGCAAAGTCGCGTCGAACAAAAGGTTGCTTTGGCGTGCTTTTCCCTGCAGCACTTGCCTTTCGATGTGTTGAAAATGCTTTGCACATTCTGGTGCTATGTAGCAGCCACTGGTTCTGTCGGGCATGTCGGAGCTAGCGATTATCTGGAACAGCCAAGAGCAGCAGAGGTAGCTTTGCAAAGCTTGCCACCTAGGCTGCGCTTGGTCGTCATTTGTCTTTCATCAGCCCGGCCGCTGTCATGGGTCAGACTTGTTGCGGAGAATCGGCGCATGGCCAGCCCTTGCCTCAGTTTTGAGCCTCCTCAAGGTCCAGGCATTGACGTTGTTAACCTTAATTAGTATGGTTGGTACCCATTTTTAGTATCACATGTACTTTTATTCTCTCAATCATGATGAAACATTCGTTCTTACTACTCTATTCCCGTCAATTACTAGTACTGAAAATATGATGTTGGCAGTGTACAGTTGGTCGGGTTGCATTCCAAATCCAAAGCCTACAAGACAATACTTCGCAGCTGTTGTGTCAACATGCAAGCCCTGCAGCAAGGTCCGTTGGCCTGAGCAATGAGGACTTTATCAACGCAATGGGTAGCATTGCAGAGGACGCGAGTTTGGCAGGCTTGCCATATGCTTTCATGCGAGTTGAGACCTGTAGCACGAGAGATCCAACATACATGGGATAAGATCCCATAAGAGTCATATGATCATGATAGGGTCCTCACGTTGGGGGTTGGGCAACCAAAAGCCCACAAAGCCTACTAGATATTCAGATGCGCCTACGATAGATATATAACCCTTCCATAGCTGGTGCTACATACAAGCAGTGTTGTCGAGCCTGCAGCCAGGCGTGGTTGCTGCCTTGACGCAGCTCGCGGAGGTCAGTTGCTTGGGGTTCCCGGGTTGTACCCCAGAGCTTGCAGGGGCTCATGTAAGGCCCATAATTATTCAAGTTATATTGGGGAACTATCCAATTCAGCACTAATTAGCGTATTACCTTTGGGTACACCCCTGCAACCTTCGATCTTTACAGGGTTTTAGGGTAGTTTGGGGTTCCCCGTATGAGAAAACTTCCCCATCCCGCTATCATGAAATGCCCCCACTCTGTGAGAACGCAGGAGCGGGGAACATTTCGCAGCCCCGTATAATCTTGGGGGACTGGAGTGTGTCACAATCGGGGAAGCCTTCAGATTCACTGCGGATTGACAGATCTAGCGCGACCTCACGTGCCAGATTTGTTCAACAAATGCGTGCTTCGCAGGACCACCCCTACCTCAAGCCAACGGGAACTGCTTCCTGGCCGAATTTTCTGATGTTCGCTGGCAGGTGATGCTTGCAAGTCTTCCGTGCGTTGAGCAGCGACATATCTACACCCCTCAGGTACCTCTAAATAGGGCCATGCGGTCCCTGATGGTGAGTATTTAGGCCACAATAGAAGGTAGTTGGAGGGTTTTGGCATGTACATGAGGAGTTTGCTCCTCATCCGCTTCTTTACTGGGTGAGGCGTTGCAGAGAGTTTGCGCCCCGCGGCTGAAGCTTCTGTTGAGTAATGTTAGGTTGTGGGCTGAAGGGCCTCAACGAGCAACAGTGTAAACTTCTTAAAGGGGGATTATATAGGAGATTCTATAGGGAAGTATTAAGGGGTTATTAAGTGGGATACTCGGATTTTTAGGCTATAGCTCAAATAAATGCCCGGGTTATGGTCTGGTTAAGAGCTTTGTAGGGGATATCTAGGGTTCAGGGGCCTGAAGAATTCCGCGCCAACATTCGGGAATAATGCAGAATGAATAGAAAAGAACATGGGCAATGAAATGAAAATGGGGGTTCTCACTTGATTTTGACGGGGATACTTCCGGCAGTATGGCCTTAGACTCCTTGTATACTTATCGCATGGGGTACCTGAAGCAGACCTCAAACTGATATACTCAAGCAATTCTGCCAGCGATAATCTAGACTGCTTAGAGGGTGTTATATAAGGGAATTACAGGGAAGTTTTCTAGGGTTTATTAAGAGGGATCCTAGGAGTTTAGGCCTTAAACCTTAATCCCTAAATCCTAAGGGTATTAAGGCGGGATACTGGGAGTTTCGACTATTCATGTAGGCCCCATTGGTAGGATTTGCAGCATGTGTCCTGGTATTTCTGCACCACTGCCCAAATCATTGGCATGTCACTTGGGGATGTTATGGATTTAGGGTTTAGGGATAGCCTGTCGAAGAGCCTTCCTTTGGAAGGCTCAGTTGCCGTTTCATTCTGCTCTTGATTTCCCATTTGAATCTCCATTATTGTAGTAGTACACTCATCACTACATAATCTCCACCCGAACCGGTTTTGGGCCCTGAAGGCTTGCGAAGAAGACCGAGGAAGCACAAAGTTGCTTGGACCGTATCAACAGCAGCTTGGAGTACGAGATCGCGCAGGCATGGGTTTAGGTCTAGGGGGTTCGCCTTCCCCTCCATCACCAGCGCATGATGAGTCCCTCCCCTAAGCGGCATAACGCAAAATCTTATGAAGCAATACCATTATTGTCCTAGGTTTTTGTATACGTATGGTACAGGGTACCTGACGCATGATACTGGTTATTATCTAGTCCGTACGTTACACTTGGGTACTGCCGTGCTGCGCTGCAGATCCGCGACTCCTTCCGACGCTTTGACCATGACGGGTCGGGGCACTTGGACACGCAAGAGTTCAAGTTTATGTGCGCATACATTGGCTGGGGAGAGGAGGAGGCCAGTGTGATGGAAACTTGGCATAAAGCAGGGCAGCTAGCAGCTAATTACCAGATCTTTGCTAGTCGTGCTTGGTTGTTGTCGTCGACAGGTAGCGCATGCTGCCTGGTCTGAGTTTCATGAAGTAGCCGTCTTTTCTTCGTATTCGCAGTTCATTCGTTTCACCGCCTTGAAGCAGCAAGGATGTCGATCACGACAGCAAAGTCACCCTGGCTGAGTTCCAGCAGTTTGTGGGCCACATGGGTGGCCTACAGCAGCTCTTCCAACAGCGCCGTCAGCGCGTAGCTTGGATAAGAATTGTTTAGGGTCTAGGGAGTCTTGGGGTTTAGGGATTAGGGTTTAGCATGCCGCTAACCCTAAACCCTAAACCNNCCCCATATAACCCCAATATAACCTATCAGCAGAAAGTATTGGGAATCCTGCTTCCTGTAGTGTTTACCTCCCGCGAATTGCTTGGCACCAACGTCTCCTCTACATTTCCTCGTGGTATATTGGCCCCAGACCCTAAACAGGGGGTAGCTTTGATTTTTCCCCACCCTCGCTGTGGGGTTGTTAGATTTTTAAGTCTATGTTGTCCTCGCCCTCCGCCAGGAGCCTGCCTGCAGTGCTCCATGGCAACGTATTCCTGCAGTGCCCAGCCGCAGAGTATCCCTGCAGTGCCCAACCACCAAGTATCCTTGCAGTGCCCAACCACAGAGTATCCGTGCAGTGCCAAGCCACCAAGTATCCCTGCAGTGCCCAGCCGCAGAATATCCCTGCAGTGCTCAATTACCAAGTCCCTTTGTAGTGCCTAACCACCAAGTATCCTTGCCCAAAAGCAGAGTATCACACCACACTCTGTAATGTTCTCGCCCCCAATCTTCCAGGAAACATTGCATTTCGTGTTCATAACAGCTTTAGGGTGGGGATGCTCGAAGTAAATAATTTTGTCGTTGCCCGTCATCCTTATATAATCCTTCTAGAGCCATGAAAACAATTCATGTTCATAGGCGCCCAGCCTAACCTACCTTAGTAGATCCTAAATCCTAAGCCCTAAACCCTAAATCATCCTAAATCCTAAGTCCTAAACCCTAAATCATCCTAAATCCTAAGCCCTGAGCCCCTGTCTGTACACTTGCTTCAAGGTGGCCCGGAAGCAGTGGGGCGTGGAAGCTCCCGCCATCATCCAGGCTGCCACATAACACTACTACTGATAATCTGCTGGCACTAGTAATGTCGACAAAAATTTTAGTTTTGGCAATAGTCATACTAATACTTGTCATGCTCAGACCAGTCGCGAGTCTTTGAAGTAGTTGAGGGCTTCGGATTCTCAGAGAGGACATATGCTTGTGCCAAGCATTAGCTCAAGTACTGTAGAAACCTAAATAATCACCAGCAAGATCGTCCTGGATTCCTTGCATGATTATGGTGTAGATTACCTGTTTTTAGAAGTTGCTGAGGCTCCTATATGATGTGTGCCTTTCCCCCCATCCTGGCATGCTGGAAGGTTGGTGCCCGCGTCCAGGCTGGGACGGAACTTGACTTGTGGATACGCCTTGGAAGCGGGTGGTTACTAAGGTTGTAGGGTCTAAGTTAGGAGGACCCCCCACGCTGTAACAGTGGTACAATAGGAATATAATAGGCGCCTAATATAATCCTTATAATCCCCTAGTTGCCACTATTGCTGGGTGGGGGTAAACCGAAGGTCTAAGTGTCTAGAGTATATTCTGCAAGCCTGTCATCTAACGAACTCTCAAGTGGATAGTTTCCCCTATAAGCCTTAGATAGCCCCTATGTAGTCCTAGTGTCCCCATATATGCCTTACATAAGCCTTACCCACCTGGTAACTACTCACCTCAAACCTGCCTCAATGTCAATGTTCGTGCAAAATCCTTATATACAGTACCGTAACTTTCTTCTTGAACAGACACAACTCCCCTAGAATGGCCATTTTTCTGAAGCATAGCTTCGAGTTTCTGGCTTCAGGCATACCACCACACCGAGGACAGCCGCATATGCAGCATGGGCATTCAGTTCTGCTGTATGACCTACATAGTTTCTTCTCAAAACTACGGCACGTAAGATTAGACCCTTCCCTTTACGTTGCATATTCGCTATTGATCTGCCAAAGTCATGCATATTAAAGATACATAGTATAGCTTGGTATTGAACCGTGCGTGGGATGTGCAACGTGCATTGCCCCTCCCCCCCTCCCCGAAGTCGCATGCGCTGGGCCCGCAAATCTGACAATATCTCCCACAACCACCCATGTTTTCATCAAAGCGTAAAGAAGTTTGATGGCACAAGCTCCCCTAATACAAAAAAACGCCTCAGAGTACTTACATATTCTCACTATGGTACACTGCAACATATTGGGAACATTTCTGAGTGTAAGGGGGGATGTTTTCATAGTAGTCTGGGGGCTTTACGGGGGACCCTTATTGGGGACTCCTGCAATAAGTTAGGGGGGGGGCTGTATAGAAGCGCTACTCAGGGGGTAAAGAAGGTAATGGGCAATGGGATTGGGGGTCTCTTCTATGATTACATAAGCCTGGAGTTCCTTAAATTCCCCTAAACCCCTGAAACCCACTCCCCAGCGTGAATCCTAAAGATCCCTAAGACCCTAAACCCCCTAAAACCCCAAAAGCCTAAACTGCTTGTGCGATGCGCGTGTCTAAACCCCTAAAACTCCAACACCCTAAACCCCTAACCCCCAAAACCTAAACCCTAATACCCCAATGCCTAAACCTCTCAAACAGTAAAATCCCACCCAAAGCCCCGAAAGCCCTGGAGGATGGCAAGAAGTCGGCCAACCTCCGTGAGGCCCAAGTGCTGGAGCTCAATGTGATGCCCAGCAACGGGGCCGCCCAGCTGCGGGCTAATGGGTACTAAGGGTAGGGTTTAGGGTTTAGGGTTTAGGGTTTAGGATTCAGGATTCAGGGTTTAGGGTTTAGGGTTTAGGTTTAGGGTTTTAGTCCCCCTTAAGTAGATAGAAGATGGGGTATATGGGGATCCTACTATAATATACCCTAAAGCCATATTCTATCTACTCAAGGGGGACTATAGGGTTCAGAGGTTCTGGGTTTACAGGTTTAGGGTTTATAGGGTTAATGGGCTTTACAGGGCCATGGGTACTGGGTTCAGGGTTCACAGGGTTTACAGGTTTAGGGTTTATAGGGTTAATGGGGTTTACAGGGCGGTTAGGGTCTAGGGTTCAGGGTTCACAGGGTTTAAGGTTTAGGGTTTTTAGGGTTCATGCGGTTTACAGGGTTAGGGGTTTAGGGTCTGGGGTTTGGGATTTAGGGTGGAGGTTTATATGAGCTACTGTCAATATTAGGGTTAGTAGGGGACCATCAGGGGGGGGTCCCTGTGGCACTTAGTTTAGTATAGTCCTTACTCAGGGACAGTTTCAGGTGGGTAGTTACCAGGTGG